GAATCGCAGTGGCAGTCAGCATGATCTGAATCTACTATGTGGCAGATCCGCCGACTGAACCGAAGAAAGCTTGACACGTCTGGCAGAGGCATTCCCGAAAGATGCGAGACCGACGGATCAAGGGGCTACACTAATGGCCAACCAACCCATCTTCCGCGTGATAAAGAAGAAGAAAAGATTTGGGGTTCAGATAAAAAAATAAACCATCAAACCGGTTAAGTTATTGAATCGGACCAAACAATACAGACCGAACCAGGTTCCCTAACTTATCTGATTCTAACTAGTCCAACCAACATTTTGAACCGAACTGGTTCACCTGCTCTTCTTCTCTTTCTTTCTCAAGCAATAGCCGCCAAGAATGAACACCTTAGAGGTCTCTCCCTCGTTCGCCTCGGCTAACCAGCCAAAAAGAGCTACCTCCTGGAAGCTCTGCTTGGGTTCCGCTTTAATCCGCGTGAGGTCAAGATGGGAACCTGGAGGTCTCTCGTTCTCCAGATGGGTTCTGATCTAAAAAAGAAGAAGCGAAAGAAGGAGAAGTAGAAGAAGAGGTGGAAGAAGAAGGTGTTACTACAGCAGCACGATTACAATGTCTGGCAGCGACTGCATCGGTGGTTTGGAGGGGTCAATTCGGGAAAATTTGATTTTTACGGGGTGGAAGCAGTAGAAAACCGCTTTAATATATATACATATATATGAACATCTATATATAATAATTAAAAAAAATGATTTTATGGAGGTACAAGCAATAGAAAACTGCTTTAGAAAAAAAATATTTATGTATATAATAATTAACATATATATATATAAGACTGCTTTAATATATATATATATATATATGAACAAGAAAAAAAAAACCTGCTTAAAAAAATATATATATATAATAGTAATAATAATAATAAACTATATTTTAACCTTGGAGATAAAGTTGACACTGAATGAGAGAGTATTGTCAGGACATTAAGGGTTAAAAAAGAGAAATAAAAAAAAAAGTAAATTATTTTTTAACAAATATCAATTAAGATTAGGGTTAAGAGTTAATGTTTTGAATTTACTTTACAACAGTCACCGCTGCATTGATTTCGGCCATGATATTGGCTGTTTTAATTGCTTATAGTTTATAAAAAGCTCAACCTTTATATTATAAACAATCAAGGAAAAAAATAAAATTATTTATCAGATTTTGCTCTCTATTTCTCTTCTATTTCTCTTTTTCTTTCTAAAGATCAGATAGTTATGTCAGAGACTTCTCACATATGTTTGCTATCTTGTTAGGTGGATGAAATATATACGACATTAATTATCTCTTATTTTATGTTCTCTTTTATGATATGTTGATGTATATCGACATGTTTAGTTCGAACATAGTGAACTGAATTATTTTCAAAGCTAATTGTAGACAGATTGTCAAAATACATTTATGGGAGTAGAATTTTTAATCTCTAACTCTTTTAGAACACGTGCCATATTTATTCACATATTCCTAGTTTCGTAACCTTGAATTTTGCCTCAATGCTGTTTTACGCTACAACTGGTTGTTTCTTACTCAGCTATGTTACTAAAACCT